TGAGAACAACTTCAGAAACACACAAAGAATAGAGAACTGTGAGAACCAGTAAGGCAAGAGTATAGGGTAAAGCTGGTGAAGTACAGGCACGGATCTCCACATCCCATAAATGCAGAAAAGGAACCACTGGGTTGGGTCTTGAACAAATGGTACCTTCATTATGAATGCTTTCAGGAACTCAACTAATGCCAAGACAGCAGCTCACTGAAAGAGGAATGAGAGGAGAGGAACAAGAGGCCCTGACTAAATTGGGTAGAAACTAGAAGGGAAAGGAATTCAGCTGGAAGCACTAACAAATTTGAGTGGGAAAAGAGGGAGAGAAACAGACCCTAGCCAAAGAGAGGTCCAGGGGACAGAAGGTTGTTTCCTTCTCGTTCCCTTTTTGTCAACAGTGGGAAGAGAGATGTAAACATGTGAAACATTGTGCGAAAGGACCCAAGAGAGGAGAAAAAGACAAAGGCACTGTGTTAGTTACATTTCAGATCACTGGGATCAAAGACTTGATAAAATCAACCAAAGCGGGGAGACCTGTATTTTGGCTAAAACATTGAGGGGTACAGCCTATCAAGGTGAGGAAGGCATGACAGCAGGTAGCTCCGTGGTGGTGGGAGCATGTGACACCCACTTCCTCGAATCTACATAGATCAGGAAGCATAGTGAGAACAGGATGTGGGCAAGCTATAAAGCCTAGAGGTCCACCTTCAGTGACTACGCTATAAAGCCTAGAGGTCCACCTTCAGTGACTACACTTCCTTTTACCTTCTAAAGGTTCCACAACTTCCCAAAACAGTGTCACTAGCTGAAGACCAAGGGTTCAGCCATAAATCTATGTGGTACATTTTACATTCATACCAGGACATTTCTCTCCTGTCCCCATAGGTTCACGACTGTGTTTATAATGTAAAATAAATGCAGCCCAACTTCAAAAGTCCTGTAGTCTTTAGCAGTTCTGTAACTACTCAAGCGTTCAAGTGCAGTCTCTTCTAAGACTCAGACAACCTCTAAACCATGAGCCCCTGTAAATTCAAGATGTCACGCACTTCCAGCAATGTCAAAGTAAACAATCCAATTCCAAAGAGAAGAAAGGAAACACAGCAAGGAAAGATCAGGCCCAGCTCTTGGTGCATCATGTGAGGACACACTGCGACTGCATGTTTCAATCAACACAAAGCAGGAAGCTGGGGACAGGCAGAGAGGCCACGCTATACAGCCTCCAATAACTCACTACATCCAGCAAGAACCCAACCTCCAAAAGCTCCACGAGTCCCCAAAAATAATACCATCATTTGGGGACTATATATATAGGCATGAGCCTGTAGGGAACAGGTCATATCCAGACCATGACAGACTTCAATCATGTGACTATATCACAAGGTGGCTCCCAGTTAGTAGTAAGAATTGGTTTATGTTGTGGATTGGTTCTATGCTACTTATGTTATTTCAGCTCGCAAAATTACACAGGAACCCATATATCTGCCTGTAAGATGCAGAGGTCCCGGTCCCCAGTTGGTTTTGATTGATAAATAAAGTTGCCAGTGGCCAATGGCTGGGCAGAGAGACAGAAGTGGGACTTTTAGGTTCCTGGGCAAGGAAAGCAGGAGAGGGAGAATTGCCATTGCCAGGGAAGGAATAAGATGCAGGCTTGAGAGCTGCAGAAGACAGAATACCAGCCAAGCAAAAGTGGACCCAGGCCTCTCCCCTCGAATTTGGGTCTAGAGTAGCAAAGACAGAATATAGATTTTAGTAAGTAATAACTCAGGAGTATCAGGGAAGAGGCGTTAGCAACATGGACGTTTGAGAGTGGCCCAGCCATTGTGCTGTTTAAGGCATATTAAAATAGAAGGCTTTGTGTGTGTGTGTGTGAGTGTGTGTGTGTGTGTGTATCTTTTACTCAAGAATCCACAGATTGGGGCAGGTGGCAAGAAGCATGTGTGCCACTGCTAGGGAGATTAGAGTAGAGTAGACAAATACAGCAACAGGTTTATTTTGTAAATATTTGTTGCTTGTCTGACCTCATTCTGACATTTACATTACAGTAAAATAAATATAGAGACATGCAGGAATGAGTGACAAGGCAGGGATATGTAATTTCAAGTGAAATGATGTATGTCACACCATTCAGAAAGCATCACTGTGACCATCCAAATGACGCCCCGTCAAATACAGTAAGGCTGCATGCCTATTCCATGTTCTAGCTGCTGGCTGCTGTGTTAGCCTAGAAGCCTTCTTCTTTCTGTGTGGGTTTATTTTGGGATCTTAAGTTATATGGCTCCAAAGTTTCATTTACAAATTGAAATTCTGGTTTATTTTAGAGAAGAATCATTGCTATACAATGCCAAATCCCCTGTTGCTAAACAAAAAACAAGTGTGAATTAAGTTATTAACTTGTTATTTTTGCCTAAGGAGCTGAGAGAAATGTGTAGATTTCAGATGTCTAATTTCAAGTCTAATTGAAAAATTTTTTGTGACCACTAAGGGACTAGAATTTGTGTACTATTAGGAAACTTTGAGTTTCCTTAAAATTGTTCATGTGACCAATTCTTATAGAGACACTGCTAAAGGAGGAACTGTTTTCATTCAAAATACCACATGGGCAAATTAAGGAACACAAACTAATGCTCATATCAATAATGGTAGCATTTAGCTATAGGCTAGAATGGAGTGGTGTGGTAAATAAACTAGCTTGGTGGGGAAGTGTTGTGAAATGGGAAACACAGGACCTCAAGTTTCCCTATTGACCACGGCCATAATTGTCTTTTCAGGGAACCAGAACTTCCCTCTCAATAGTATAAACTCTTCTTGCTCTAGAACGCAGTTCAAAACCTCCAAAATTCATCAAAACAGAGGAAACAAGGCAAGAATTTATTGACAAATATTAGTTAGATATCTGAAAATATGCCCCTTTCTCAAAAGGAAAAATACACACACATAAACCAGTAATAAAATTGGTGAGGGCAGGGGATCAGAAAGGCCCCATCCATATCAGAGAGTTGTAGGATCTGAAGAGGCAGCTATGAGGAAGGAGGACTCACAACAGAACACATTCAGCTTTCAGACTGAAGGCACTGAGAGCAGCCACCGCTCCAGCCCTCAAAGGCTCCTTGGTGGTCGGTCTCACAAGACACTTGCTACAAAAGATGGTTAGAATCTTTTAATCATTTATTATCAGTACACTGCAGCTGACTTTCAGACACACCAGAAAAGGGCACTGGATCCCATTACAGATAGTTGTAAGCCACCAAGAGGTTGCTGGGAACCCAGGACTGGCTCTCCTCTACAGGAAAAGTCAGTGCTCTTAACTGTTGATCCATCTCTCCAACCCCGAACTCCAACATTTTTAAATGTTCACATTTTCTGTTAGGACATTTACAGTCTTTAAAAAAAAAAAAGTTCAGCCATAAGTTGGCTACCACAGTACTAACCTATCACCCTAATCCTAGTACCTGGGAGGTTGAGGCAAGATAACTGCCAGCCTGAGCTATGTAACACCTTCAAGTGCAGCAGTTACACAGTAGAGATTTGTTTAGTGAAAGAATTTATACAAAACTTGGGGGAGAGGTTAAGGAGGTAGGGGTGAATTAGGAGAAGTCAGGAATTGGGGGGAGGGGTCAATATAATAAAAACACATTTCATGAGAATCCCCAAAAAAATATTTTTAAAATGGGGGAAATGAATGCTTGCCTATTTTGTGCAAGGCTTTCAATATCAAAAACTTGCCATTGTAATTTGAGTTTCATTGGCTTTCATATAAATTCCAGAATAAGCTTCTTTAACCACTAACCAAAACTAATTTATAATAATTTCTATTACTGTCCTAAAATATATATATTCTACAACTGACTTAAAAGTAACTGCATTTCTTAAAGTACTAGGTGCCATGCCAGGCGTCTGACCCAGTAACTTATATGGTCACAACTAGCCAAGAACATAAACAAGCCTTAAAATGAAACAGACTTCTGCTTGGAGAAGCCCTGTAATTTTAACTTCTTACAGCTCAGAGCATAGAATCTATAATTCAGAGAGCATATTGGAAAGTGGCTGTCCTGGCTGATTTGTCTAGTAACCAATTTGGAAGTTCAATGCAAGCCTGCAAGCACCCTCGGTACACTTTTCAATATAGTAAAACAAAGTACTCTAAGGAAAAGGACCATTTAAGACTGAAATGCATATGTTATCTCTGATTGAATGACTGATTCCATAACTGAATATGCAGCTACAAGAGCATCTGAATGATTTAGTAAATCAAAGAGAGACCCTGGGGTTTTTATTAGAAAGCACTAATAAAGAGTCCTTAGCAACCCCCTGTATTCACCCCGTTATATTAAACAGGGTAAGAGGTGACTTCCCAGCATACCTGCAGTGTAGTTGTTAAATGTTTAGAGAAGAGCTGTAAAGTGACAGCAAAACGTCTCTCAAGTGATACTCTAGGGAAAAGAAGCTATAGTAGAGATTCTGTTCCCCACTCTTTTGAAAACTATTGGCAGGTGACATTTCCCAGCCTTCCATGTGTCTAGATATGAACAATTACTAAGCAGTTGTCAATAGATTCAAGTCAGAGACTTTGATCTCTGATGAACTGATCTGTTCACTGTAGGAAGTCTCTACAGATTTTTAATTACAAAAAATAAACTTCTACTTCCTTTCAGAAACAGATTTCAGACTGGGATTCTCTGTTTCCAGCCTGGCCTTACCTTATGTAATACAAAGGTTTATAGGATCTCAGAAATGATAACCATGGCCAGGTCAGACCAGAAGAGAGAAGGAAACTGCCCTTCCATCTGCTGAGCAGTCCATATGCAGAACTACTGTGAGGTAAAACACACTTCAATGTACAAACACCATTGCTCCGTATAAATCAGATATAAACGGAAGTAAGACCAATTACACAACATGAACTCTAAATTATCCTAAACCAAGGAAAAATACAAAAGTATGCAATACTGAAATAACAGAATCCCAGTACTGTCATAGTGGAACCCCCCCCCCACACCAGAGTGTACCTCTTCGGTTTGCTTCTGAGTTCTTCCCAGAGCGGACTCTGGCTTCACCTCAGAGGTGAGAGGCAGGTGGTCCACAGAAGGAACGTAAGCAGGAGCACTGGTGCTCATACTCTGGTCCACCTCACCTGGAAGCAACAGCCAATCTGTTGGATACAAAATATTTCAGCTGATCTCTTGGGAAGTTCGTCATCTCCCCAAGTAATATAAAAGCTGGTGACAATCAAAACAGGCAGATATGATCAGGAAAAGCTGACCCCTAGCACAATGCCTGTCTTCATCTGTGAACCTGACACAGAAGGCACCTGTGCTTATAGCTTTTGTCATGCTATAAGGTATAGTCCACCCGGGAGGTTGGAGGGGACTGAGGGAGTGACATAATAGGCCTCCCATGCCTGACTCTATTTCTACTGCACAGGAAAACAAGGCACAAAAATGCTACTTTTGCCTCATTTTCCCATAGTTTCCTGAGGGAGTGAAGAGAAAGAAAATGGAGTGCAGACTTCATTCTGTAACAATGCAGCAATATTTCAAAAATATATATATTACAAAATGAGGATGCCAGAAGGAAAGTACTTTAACTTTCAGCAGAAAAATGAAATACTCTGTCATATGAAAAATGTGCAGGCTCATTTTCAACACTTGCAAACAACATGTTTCCTGCTTGTTTAGCACAATCACAAGAATTCAATAACCAATCTTAGTTGCCCCATGGATTTATTGGGAGTGGTTGTGCTGGCTTGTTTTCACATGTGTGACACTTCATGAATGTATCACATATGCCAGTTAACTTTTTTGAAGTTGAGGAAGCAGACACACAGAACACAACCTTCCCGCCTCAGTCTAAACTTCCAGAATACCTGAGAAGCTAGTGAGAGCGCCTCACTAGCCAGTAACTTGAAACAAGGTGCTACCATTGCCTACTTCTCGTGGATGATGCTCATTAAGTTCTCAGAGGAAGTGATTAATTAGCAACATGTGTGCCTGGGCTAATGGCAATGGCAGCATCAGTAGGAAGATAACTATGCAGCTCTGATATTCAAAACCTGAGACTATCTGAAATCCATCCTTCACCTCCATAGCCATCAGACCCAAAGAAATATATCATTGCTGGCTTTTGATTGTGGAGAAACAGAACACAGAGTCAGATATTCTAGAAACTGAGAGCTGTGGTGGGGAGACAGTGAGGAAGGAAGTCCTACTGAGCTCAATTATTGCTGTTCAGAACATCATCTCATTAACTAGCATAAATAAAAAAATAATAACAACCAACCCTGATGTGTCCAGTATTTCACAAGTGCCAGCATGGCTAACCCTCCCAACTGTTCTCCCCTGTTCTCTGTGTTCTAGGCAATGAGCTCTACACACTGACAGAGATCTCACTCGGGAGCCCACAGCTAGAAAGTCAGAGTCAGCAGTCCTCCCAGACCTCAGTCAAACTGTGTTAAACAAAGATTTTTATTATGTATTTAATTTTGTTTCATTATATGGAATGACTATTCTCAGGGCCAAGAAGTGTCACCTGTAGCTCCTGAGTGTAGCAGGCAGCACTAAGTACATTTTCCAAACATGTGATTCCCAGAACACGACATGTTTATTAAGCTCGTTAACAGTAGGAGAGAAACTGGCCTCCTAATGTACCTTCTTATAAGTTCAAAGCCAAACTCCTACACTGAGCTCTTTTGTGTAAGAGCATAGGACAGGTCCAAGGCTGGTAAGGACCTGCCAACAAGCAATAAAGAAAAGGCTTATGCCTCTCAATGTGAGGAACAACATCTATCTGGCCAACTGGCTGCTGGTACAAACACTAGTGCTGATGTGAAATGAGCCTCAATTCAGCTCTTCAGGCTTATATTATAGTCCTGTCCAACAAAAGATGTGGCAATCAGGACAAGTGTGTGGGTCCTTTACTGAGGCTTCACAGCCCTAATCTGTTTTCATCGAAAGCAAGACTTTCAACAACAACAGCAAAAATGACTTCTTTTGTGACAGTTCCACCACCATGGGAACAATTGTTTCAAAGCAAAAAGACTCCATACCGTTAGCACCTTAAATTGCTGTCATCTTTTCTCTGGGGTAAAGACAGAATTCAAGAATGCATACTGTTGGAGGCCAACACAGTACCTTATGCATGGTGAACTCTAAATCAATACTTGGAAGCAGGAAATGAATGTGATATGTGCTTGCAGTGAAAACCGCTTAATAGGAATCTCCAGCCTCGAAGTGTGTCTACTCTGAAAGAGTTGCACATACACAGAAAACAAGACACAAAATTCCCAACAGCATGAATCCCACAGCAGAAACCAAGGAGCTGGTCCATATACTCCTAGTTTCTTTCCCCAATCTACTCTTCCTTTCCTTGGATGAATTATTAAGGAAGGAAGGGAGGAAAGAAGGAAGGAAGGGAGGGAAGGAGGGAGGGAGGGAGGGAGGGATTAACTTTCCTATTTTACTCCCTTCTTAGGGAGAATATAAAAATTTCTTTATGCAATAACAAGAACTGGAGAGTAGGTTTTTCCTCTGGTTAAAATGGCTTCCCGATTACACCTTCATAGATGGATAAGTTAGCAAATATAAAAACTAGAATAGTGGGAATAGAGGACCATTGTAAGGCAAAGACTTGTCTCCTTCCTTAATGTGTTTAGTAAATAGTGAAGCCATCAAAAAATGATACTTCAAGTTGGTTGGAATTCTGCAAGCTTGGGATCATGTTCTTCATGCCACAGAGGCTTAAACTGTGGGCTGCAACCCTATACGAAGTCATGTAATCGAATGTGAGATTTGGCAGCAGAAAAGGGGTTTTATGAAACAATATCCAAAAATTAAGCCAAATTCCAAGGTATTCCCAGCATTCACCTGTGTTGTATCGTGCAAAGTCACTGAAGCAGTCTGAACACACTATGTGTACACTAAATAGCATGCGTGCCATCAACCCCTTGGTCTCCAAGAACACTTCCCAAATACCTCAGTTGAGACTGTACACAACTAGATATTATGAACTCACTGGTTTCCCTACACATACAAAGTTTGCAGCTTTTATGAAACCATAACCACTTAACTACAAAAAACATATTCTTCAACATTTAAGCAGCAAATTACTTTATCTTTGAGTTGACTACATCATGCTAGAATAGTTGACTTTAACAACAGCTGTTTGAGTTGCATTTCATTTTTTAAAATTCATTACATACATTTTTGTCTTGTTATTAGAACTGAAATTTATACAAATTTTGAAATGGCCCTAAATATAATTCTGTCACTTTGTACTATGTAACTATGAGAAGAGGAATTTGCAGCACCAGCAACTATAAAATCAAATATTCATCCACCCTGAAAATCAGTGAAGATGTTCTACATGCTACAGCATCAAATACTCACCCAAGATATAGGTTTTTAATAGATCCAAGTATATCCATCTCATTAATAATATTTTTATCTTTAATAAATGATAAAGCTATTTGTATATCAAAAACTTGTTTTAAGATAAACTTCTTTGTGATTTGTATACCTTCTTTATGTGCACATACTTAGAGCTGAATTAAATTTCCTTCTGTGAAAAGAAATCCTGGGAGGAAATGGTTTTTAAAAGCTCTGCCTTGTACCATTCCCAGGCTCTCCTTTCTCTTCACCTTCAATTCCAATTCTTTGTTTAGGTAACATTTTTTTTTACCTTGTAGGTCACATGCACTTAGAGAACTTTCTTTGACTGCACAGACAAATTTCAGTCTTCTACCTTGCTTTCTCATGAGATCTAGAACAATTTATTATAATGATAAAAATGGGATTCTATGGTCAATATCTAATTCCTCCAATAAATTATGAATCACATGAGAACAAAAGTCTGGTGTTTTAGTCTTCAATTATGCTCCAGGAACAAGGCATAGTTGTTAAATATTTGTTGAGTAAGAATCACTGGTCATTTACAGGCTCTCTAAACTTAATGTTGCAGACAAAACAAGGGCTTTTTTAAAAAGTGACTGATGTCCTCTTCATTTGGATGCACACACTCAAAATAACCAAAATTAACTACAATTGCTGAAGAAATTGAAAATCAACTAGGGGTCCAACCTCTCAGCCTAGCCAGACCCTACACATGTTTTTTAAGTGTCCAGTCAGGTAAATGAAGTCCTCACCCTTCATCAAGGAAACTTTACCAAATGGAGAACATTACAGAAAACCATAACCAATCAAATTGCAGAACTGTGGAGTCTCATTGGATACTGTGGTGGTTTGAAGAAAAATGTGCCCCATAGGCCCACAGGGAGTGACACTATTAGGAAGTATGTCCTTGTTGAAGAAGATGTGCCACTAATGGGTGAGCTTTGAGGTTTCAGATGCTCAAGCCTGGCAAGTATCACTTTCACTTACACTGGCTGCAGATCAAGATGTAGACCTCTCAGCTACTCTTCCAGCACCATGCTTCCCACCATGACAATAATAGACTAAACCTCTAAAACTGTAAGCCAATCCCAATTAAATGTTTTTCTTTATAAGAGTTGCCATGGTCATGGTGTCTCTTCACAGCAATAGAAATCCTAACTAAGACAGAATCGTCTACAAAACATCCATACACCTAAGGCTCAGGGAACACTGTAGTGGAGAATGTAGAAAGATTATAAGAGTCAGAGGACCAGAGACTTTGCTTTCAGAGTGTATCTCCAAGCAATGTCAGAAGCTACACCCATAAAATCTCAGCAACATAATTTCATGTCTTAGTTAGGGTTTTACTCCTGTGAACAGACACCATGACCAAGGCAACTCTTATAAGGACAATATTTAATTGAGGCTGACTTACAGGTTCAGAAATTCAGTCCATTATCATCAAGGCAGGAACATGGCAGTGTCATGGTACAGGAGGAGCTGAGAGTTCTACATTTTCATCTGAAAGGTGCTAGCAGAATACTGACATCCAGGCAGCTAAGATGAGAGGGCCTTAAAGCCCATACCCACAGTGACATACCCACTCCAAAAAGGACACACCTACTCCAACAAGGACACACCTTCTAATAGTTCCACTCCCTGAGGCGAGCATATACAAATCATCACATTCTATTCCCTGGCCAACATAGGCTTGTTCAAACATATGAGTGTATGGGGGAGAAAACTGGAAGGAGAAATGATTTAGTTATATTATAATTTCAATAAAAGAAATATTTTTAATTATAAAAATCAAATAGTGTAGCCAGATATTTTTCCTGAAAGTTGGGAGAAGCTAATGTGGGAGAAGCAAGGAGAGGAAGAGGAGAAGAAGAGGAGGAGCTAAAGGAGAGATGTAGGAGCCATGGATAGCCACGCATGTATCGAGAGCAGTCCTGGGTAACAACTTATACCTTAAGGTTAGATATTGGGGCACACCTCTAATTGTGTGAGCATCTTGTTAATTTGAACATTACCAAACACATAAAGCCACTAGATAATCTTTAAGCATTAGAGTCTCATTTCTACCAGGTACCACGTAAAGGTGGGATGGTCTGAGCTCAGCTCAACCTTGTGGAAACAGCATGGAAGATTGGCAGAGCCATCTCCCACATTGCCACTCGTGGCCACAGGCCTTGTCTAGTCAGGAAGATGGTGGCTGATTAAGAACAAGCCAGATCAGGTGCTGCCAGTTTAAAATATTACTGCAACAAAATAGGGCTACAACTGTTGAGCAGGAGTTGGTGCCCATTCTCATCCAACACAATAAACTACAGAATAAATACACCCACTGTAAAAGACCTGTCTATGCGAGTCTGATTATAAGAACTGGACCTCCAAAAACCAATCTCTCCAGCCAGCCACACTAAAACTGAGAGACCATAAATAAATAAATAAATAAATAAATAAATAAATAAATAAATAAATGTCTTCCTACCCTAATGACCTCCATGTAACGACTACAGCTATCCCAATCCACAATTTTGTTGTATAGCAATTTGAGCCATCTTGTCTGAGGCCAGTCAATCACCAGGTTAACTACCCTATCTTGAATTCAAAAGAGGAAAAGGTGCTAACTTGATATCAAATGAACACAGGGTACCAAACCTCGTAAGGAATATTAATTACTCTGAGGCCACTTATATGACTGCATTGTGTGAGTTCTGCCAAAAACCTGACTCCAAAGCGCTATTCCTTGGCTGTCAAAATGATAAGGCAAACACTGGAAAGGAACTGTGCTATTGAATCTTGGAGAATATTTATGACCATGGATACAGTGAATAAATAAAATCAATGGTAGAAAAAAAAAACAAGACAAAACATGTTTCCTTGTTGCCCCAGGCAAATCTGCTGCTTAAACAATAACAACAGAATCTAATCAGTAAACTTCCCAGCTGCCAAAATTATATGAGCAACTTGCCTATTTAAGAAGTCACATTTCCCATCTGATATAAATATTTGCCTTCTGCTCACATTCCCGAAGTGCAATACAAATTAGGACACACACTGAAATTCACCTTGGCACAAAGTATTTAATTTATTTCTTCTTTTCAAGTGACCCAGATTGTACATTATGAAAATTGGGAAACCCTGGTGGTCTTTTCGGTGATTAGAACGGATCGCTGTGAACTGAATCAACTGTCAGCCATCAAGTCACACATCATTTCACACAGGAGACAGACTTAACTACTTCATTCAAGTCCACTGAGACTTGGATCAGCCTCAGTAACTGGTTATTCCCAAATGCAACACCTCTGCTATCTAGTTTCTGGAAACATGATACTAGTGAGATCTTCTTATTCAAGTTTTTAAAGAAGGAAATAAAACTGGTAACTGAAAAGCATACTTTAAAAAATATTTAAAGAAAGCAATTTCACAAACAAAGAAATGGTTGATTTAAAAAAATGAAATTTGCTGGCCACATTGGTTTATATCAGTGTGAGACAGATGAAGGGGATCCACCTCTTTCTGATGCACTTGCCTAGTGTTCAGCACTTTTAAAAGGTGTTAGAGACTTGCAAATCACTGTTATCACCAGTGATATGCTCTTTAAGTTCTTGTTGTAAGCAATCCTGATCATTTCCCTGCAAATAAGCAAATATGTTGGGGACAGGACAATGTGACTCCCTAATTAACAGCTGTTATCCCATGTTGCACTCGCAGCCTTCAGCATTTGACTTGTAAACAGCCACCTGGATTTTTCTAATGCTTACACTAGCTGTTCTGAACACCACAGACACCATGAGAAAAATACACACTAACCACACAATGAGCCCAGGTGATCACTGCAGCTCCTGAAGTACATTCATCCTCCAGCAAAATTTTGTCAGTTTCACGGGAAGAGCTCTAGAAAGATTTCAAGCCTGGAGCCAACCAAAACTTGGCCCTGCAGGTACAACACTGGGCCTGCCAGGGTGGAAGAGCGCCAGCTCCCTGGGCCTACACTTAAAAAGCTAAGGATTCTGGTCCCCTAGACCTATTCAAGAATAGCTGAACCAACAAGTAAAGTAAAGGGGCCCACGCATCAGAGCCAGCAGAAGAACTGCAACTCTGGAGGGTGCTACATGCAGGCACTCCCTCCTGTCTGTGGCAACAGCTCACTGCTATCAAATGCTAAGGGATATGAAAACTGCCAAATACCACTCCTCAGAGATATTCTCCTCAGCTATCCACAGTTTCCATTGGGGAGAGCTGAAGAAAAGCAAGCCATATGACAAGTACAGACCTACTGCTAGTGATGAAGTGAGAAACTTCACCACAAACGTGCCCAACACAGCACTCTCCTGCTTGCCTAGAAAGCTGATTTTATTTGTCAGTGATTTATATGCAAACAAAAACCAACAGTCTCAATGTATCAACCTCAAACAATAGCAAAATCAGAATGGCTAAAATTCAGTTCATGGAATGTCACCAAAGAACTAATGAGTTCAATTTTCTTGTAGGTACAGGATCTAGGAATCTGAACATTTTAAAGCAAGTTTTACTCTCAAAATCAACCAAAACAGGTACTTTATCAGCCTTGACTCTCTCCTAAGCAGGTCTTAAAAAACTCAAGAGTGACTGGGGTATGAAGCCAGCCAATGCTCCCCGAAGAGACAATTTCCTTCCATCTCTGATCTCACTGAAATGAGTAATTTGAAAGTCTCCCAGTCTTCTGGCTAGTGGGTACTTGAGAAACACCTCTAGTGGGGCAATATGACATTGGGGAACAGAAGAAAAATTTTTATTGCTTTAAAACCCAAAGCTGTAGGACCCCAAAAAGCTAGGGCAGGGGCTACACCATCAAGTGAGAAGCAGCTGCTGCCCCACATCAACTCTTTGCAACCACTTCAAGGCCTATCTGGTTCCAAGGAAACCTGTCCTCTCAACAACAGCAACAATAGCACTAACTTGGGTTATGACTAAACAGTGTAAGAGCAGGGGAAGGTCAACTTCAAGATGTCCTTCCACATCCAATAGAGAGCCAGGGTTTTCTGTTGTCCCTATTTTTATTGTTTGCTTTCTTCTTTTGGAAACAGGTTCTCACAGGGCCCAAGCTAGACTTAAACTGGCTATGTAGTCAAGGATGACCTGAATTTCTGGTCCTTATGAGCTGATATTACCCCATGGGCTACCACACCCAGTTTTAATGTTGGGCTGAGGATACTATGCATTCAGAGCAAACACTCTATCAGTTGAGCTATATCTCTCCAGCTCAAACTCCAAAAGTCCCATAAAGAAATATATCTGTGCTTATGCAAAAATATACTAACCAGGAAAGAAATCCTCTACATCAACATTGATGGATCTTTCAGTGGATTATGAGAAAAGAACTCAGGCCTGGAGAGATGGCTCAGCGGTTGACAGAACTAATTGCTCTTCCAGAGGTCCTGAGTTCAATTCTCAGCAACCACACACACAGTGGCTCACAACCATCTGTAATGGGATCCAATGCCTTCTGCTGGTGTGTCTGAAGAGAAAAGAACTCAGAAAAAAAAAATTTATGTGTTCATTTTCATATAAATTTTAAAGGCAGAATTCTGCATATTATTGTTTATTTTGTGATCAATATTTATATTTTTATGATTTTATGGTCAACTGCTGTTTTACATTTTTTCTTTAAAATAATATCAATTTGTAAGACTATTCTTCTGAAAAATAAGGCAATGACTTTATAATAGCTGTATGTGACACAATTATTTAATAGTTTAATTTACCTGAATTTGGGGGGAAGCAAAAGGACAGCTCTATTTCACTTAAACCAAAGGTTTCAAAAGGCTTTAACCAATTGAGTAAAAGTTTTTCTTTTCAAAAAGAAATTTCACAACCTCAGTTTTTCTTATATCAAGAGAGGTAAGGTAAGGATTGCTAAAAATAACAAGTCAACATAAATCACTTGTAGTTTCTAGAAAGAGGCCCCGCAGTATGGAAAAGAAGGAGAGACATACCCTTGTTCATCTGGAGCTTACTCTCTTCCTCCATGTCCACATCTTCTAAGTCTAGGAAGTTGTCTACCTACAAGAAGATTGGAATTATCTTACATATACTAGACATGAAGAAAGACACTACAGTCATGATCCCCACACACAGCACTCTGTTGAAGGCTGGATATGCTTCCCTGTGAACTCTCAAGGCCCTGTTAAAGCTGTTGTGTGCAAGCTTTTCCATTGAAGGAAGCAAGACATTTGCAAGTTCAGGACTTTACAACACTGTAGTCTGCTTTCTACAGTGAAGGGAGACACACAGGCTGAGGTTTCTTGAAAGGGACAATTCTATATAGAATACCACTTCCCATTCCACACTGTCAGTGAGGCATTTCAGATTAACATATTTTCTCCCCGGGATTTTTATCACCACTATCAGAGACAACAGGTTCCTGGTTTGGTGCTGGTGGTGGTGCTAGGCTACCATCCTTCCTCATAGTACGCTTTATTACAGCACTCTGGAGAGCCAGAGAGAAGAAACTAAAGAGAGCTGGAAAGAAATGTTCATTCAGAACAAAATCATCCTGCCCAGGTAAATCACAGGAGAGGTGAGTAGGGCAAAATATCAAGTGTTCTCTCTTTCAGGCAAGTACATCTGAGAATTACTTCAATGGTAAAAAGATCAGCAAATGTCCTTCCCAGACCCAATAGCAGCATTTTAATGAAGAACTATTCCACATAGAATACTGCACACTGACAACGAGGCATTTCAGATTTACAAACAAATGCATTTCAGGGGACTATCAAAGAGTATATATACATAAGAAAATGTTGGCACAAGGCATGTGGTAAAGGCACAAGGTCACCATCCGTTTTATGCTCACAACCTGAACATAGACTTAGCATATACCTTAAAATTATAAACTGAGATTCCTTCACTGCAATTCCAGACAGGCTGTGTCTTTCTGTCCTGAGCTGAATGTATAGTAGGCAGACCATGCTGACCTCATAGAAAGTTAAAATGATAGCTTCCATATTTCTAAGCAAGTACTTGTAACTATTATGTGGCATACATATTCAAAAGCAAAATTCATATGACAGTTTCAATATTAAAATTTGAGAATCAGTTACATGATAGCATCTTTTTTTTTAATGACTATGCTAGAAAGTCCTTTCCATTTGTTAAACCATAGGGAAAAAAGATCTAGCATCTATCCAAGCACAAACAGTTTAGATATTCCAATGCCCACTTAACAAACAAACAAACAAACAAAAACCTTTCAAGGATAAAATCTGGTCACTCATCCAGTTTTCTACAAAGGAAAGCAAGAATCTAGTGTTTGTCTACTGGCTTGTATGGTAGCTTGATACGTGCTGTCTCCCATAGGCTCTAGTAATTGAATATTTGGTGCCCAGTCAGTAATACCATTTGGAGAGGTTTAGGAGACAAGGCCTTGCTGGAAGAAGTTTGTCACTGGAATTAGGCTTTGTGAGTAAAAGGCCTTGCCCTTCTCTTGTTCACTCTCTTTGCTTGGGGATGAGGATTTGCCTTCCAGGCTTCCTGCTGCCTGCTGCTAGCTATTATGCCTCCCCACCATGTGGGGCTGTTATCCTTCTGGAACCATAAGCCCAAATAAACTTTCTTTCAAAGTTGCTGTGGTCATGGTGACTCATCACAGAAACAGAAAAGTGGCTAATTCAGTTCATTTGTTTGCTGTGTATTCTTCCCAAGGTAGATAACTGAATCAGGCCTTACCTTCACCTTTCCAGCCCGGGTCATATCACCTTGAAAGGAACTGCCAACTTTGTGGCCTTCGTCGATCACAATCTGAAAACAGTAAAAACACACAGACAAGAAGTCACACAGAGGCAGAAGAAGAGAACTAGCTTCACAGAGTTGTCCATTAGCTTCTACATATGCTCCACTATGCCTGAGTATATTCCTATGTACCTGTCGGTGCACACATATTAATAAAAACTAAATTACACTTTTAAAAAAAGAATTATTGGTTACCTTCCTAGCTATATATGAAAGACTCTCTAAGCTATAGCAGTGGTGAGGGAGAATGTTTCAGCAAGTCTAACTGCGATTCTGGTAACCTAGTCTCATCTGCCATATAGCAGATCACTTAACCCAACCATGCCTGTGTATAAAACATAGCTGCTCCACCTCCTAGACCATCTCCCAATAAACCTTTGATGCACAAATCAGAGACTGCTACTGCACTGTTTTCATGTTACAAGAGGACAGGGAAATTTAACAATTCTAGGAATCTCCATATTTAATATATTTCAATTGTCACTAGTAGAATGTGAATTAGGTCACAGTCATCACCAACAGCAAGGAGGTTATATACAAAGGTGTTCTATGAAGATCTCCACAGAGGGGAGTCCCTCACTCAAGTCTCAGAAAGTCGCGACCACCCAGTAATCTGCTCGAGACACCGTGTACCAGAGCAAAAGTGAGGTTTATTTGGGCATGTGACAGCTAGCTGCCAGTCAATTCGTATGCCCACGCAGGAGCTGAATTGACCCCAACAGCCAGTTTGGGAGGGGTTTTTAAGGGGAAAAACCACAAACCAAGGAATGGGGAGGGGGATGAGGGGTTGTTAAGGTGGCATAACATAAAAATAGCAGAACATTCCAAAGGAACCCAACCTACGTGAGTCAGGATCAGGTGAAAACTCTCTGTACGCTTATCTTTCTCAAGAATGTGGTCCTTCCCTGTTACTTCGGCCTTGCCCTGTCACTGCAGTTCTCAGCTTGGTTTCCAGCTTGGTTCTTAGCTTGGTTCCCAGCTTGGTTCCCAGCTTGGTTCTCAGCTTGGTTCCCAGCTGGCTAACTTGCATTCTAGCCAGTTCCCGTAACTAGCCTGTCCACATTCTTAACTTGCTTCATGGCTCTGTTTCTCAGAAAATTTTCCATGTCCTTATAAAGAAAGCCTAAAGAATATTTTATATGTCTAAAAAGGATTCTATATACCCAGCATCTATAATTTTTCACTCTACATTCTATACAAACACATTTCTATCACAGAAACTTCTAACCCCTTGTAAAATCAAAATCTCTTGTAATTCTGTACATAATATCACATGGAAAACATCCCAAAACAGAAACTCAAATGACTTTAAAAAACTAATCAAAACTCAAATAGCTTAAAAAAGAACACTATGAATTATCACTCCTTGATAATTAAACACGATAGCCAAAGAGGAATAGATGAATAGTGTCGATAAAGTCTTGACAATTAGAGGATAGTATCTAATATCTAGGAACCAAATCTTAGAAAAAAGCAAAATAATGGCTTCTACTTTAAGTTTAAATGTGATAAACTTAGGACCGGTAAAAATAAATCCACTTTATACAAAGAAGTAGAAAATGGAACTCTTGTTAAAAGTAAAGCATATAATTTCACGTACATACAACAGATCCCTAAGAAGTTTTTACCAAAAATTAAGGATAATCAAACACTGGCATGTAAAGACTTAATTCTCAACAGAGTGCTCTTCCAATTCTAAGAAGAATGCTTTCTTCTTCTTCAAGCTGCTTCTACAAATGAAAGACTGAATTACCTGCTCCTCTTCTGAGGATTCAGATGAAGCGTGAAGAAAGATAGTTGTATTTCTAAAATGTCGACCATTTGATTCAATTTTATGATTCCATTTTTCAGTAGTAAATATATTTTCTGATGAATCAGTTCCATGTGCTCCCCCTTTGGCCACATTACCGTCTGAAATGATAAGTTATGAATAATTAAAAACACCCTATGTGGCCAAGTTGATTTCTTTTGAGTTTACCAAAAAATTTTCTTATCAACCCCTCCCCCCAAAGGAATACTTTTCAAAGAACTATGCAAGTAAAGTTTCTTGAAGCCTTTAGGGCCTCTTAAATATATTAAAATTATTCTAAAATTACATAAAAAGATAACACAACTTCAACACTCAATGAATATTGTCTACTATATACCCAGTACTATTTTTGTCATTGTTTAAAAGTTCAAGAAAGTACAGTTTTCTCAAGAATTTTAGACATTATTTATCTCATTTTCCCTTAAGTTTGAAGCTTTCTTTCCTCATATGGAAGCAATGTATGCCTACTTTTTAAAACAGTATAAGGAAAAGAGGAAATATGAAAATTAGCCCTTAATCCTAAACAATAGAATAGCAACAATAAAATGTTCTGAGTGCTTCTCTGTGCATCTTTTACATATCCATGCATTTCTAAAATTCAAAATAGAATACATAAATAATAAATTTAATTTGTCAATATTTTGGTTATTAAATATTCTACATAAGTTTTAGTTAGAGAGAACTCTGCTATCTAAATGTAAGATAGTCTACTTAGTCAATGTTCATTCTTAACTATTTATAATTATAAGCAATACCTTTCACTGGGTGGTGGTGGGGCATGCCTTTAATTCCAGGACTCAGTAGGCAGAGGCAGGCAGAAACCTGTGAGTTTAAGGCCATACTGGTCTACAGAGTGAGTTCCAGGACAGCCAGGGCTACACAGAGAAAGCCTAACTCAAAAAAAAACAAATATAAACTAATTAGCATATGTATGTATGTTTCATATATATATATGTATATATGTATATATATACATATATATATGTAATACTTCTGTATTAAATCCATGCACAGCTATTGTTTTTCCTTAAGATAAAAAAAGAACCTAAGATTAATTCAAAATTAAGGGACTACAAAAATCTGTGATATCATGAACAGAAATTGGGAGAATAAAATAGAATCAGTTGGGTAAGAAATAATAAATATAGACCTTATATGTTGCATTTGAATTATTATGAAGGAAATGGCCCAAACACAGCTCCAAATATAGGCTGAAATGTGGAAGGAATATCACAGTCAGAGGTGACTATCTAACCATCATCTATATTAAGGCAATGGCTTAAGAAAAGAAATTAATATTAGCATTATAGTTAATATTGACTGTCAACTTGACAGGACCTAGAATCACTAAGAGGCAAGCTTCTGTGCACACCTGTGAGGGATGATCAAGGTCAGGTTAAACGAGGTGAGAAGACTCACCCTGAACTCAGGAAGCCACAGCTCATGGGCGGGATCTTGGACGAAATAAAAAGGAGAAAGCACAGTGAGTACAAGCTCTCATGTCTCTCTGCTTCTTGACTGGGTACAATGTGACCAGCCAAGCTGGTAGGTAACTCTGACCACCACACCTACCATGATGTGCTTGACCTTCAGACTGAGCCAAAATAAGTTCTTTCTTCTTTTCTTAAGTTCCTTTGTCAAGAAGTTTTGTCACACACCACAATGAGACAGTTAACTAATACAATTAGCAATATTGAAATAAGGGTTAAAAGTCACTGAGCATTTAGTGTTCTTTTCTGAGTATCTCATGAATCTTTCCAGAGGATTACTATTCAAGATTAAGTCATGTGTTCCAGGTAATGTGGCCGGTAGGTAACTACTGGGATTTGAACCCAAGCTCTTCGGAGTTTAAAACCCAGCCTAACTACTATTTTGCTACCTTGAGTAAAACAAGAGGGAAAGTCCTTGCAGAGCAAAATAGGAAAGAAACACAATAAGGAAAAGGAAAAGGAATTTTTAAAAATAAGTAAAAACTTTCTACAGTCAAAGAAAAGTCAAGGCTTCAGGATACCTATATTTTTTTAAAAAAAGAAACTAATTCACTTATGTCAATCACAAATATATATTTAAAAAGTGATAAAGGATAATAAAGCAGTCATGTGGTAGATAGCAAGCCAACCCCAACTGAGGAATCCTACGTCATGCCCTAACTAGACTATGATGAGAATGTCTTTTTTATCTGTGATTATTTCATCTGTGAGCCTGAGACAGGTCTCTAAAAGCTTAGTACAGCAGAGCCACCATACTTATTTCCTTTGAAACATCACTTCCCTGACACCAAAATCTGCAGTTCATGCTTTGATGCTCACAGTTTGGTAAGGGTCCAGTTGGAACCCTTATGTGATAGGTTTCAATAAGAAAGACCTCCATAGGCTCAAATATTTGAATACTTAGTCACTGGGGTTTGGAACTATTTCAGAAGGATTAGAAGAGATGACCTTGTTAGCATAGGTGTGGCCTTGCTGGACACTGTATGTCATTAGGGGTGGGTTTTGAGGTTTCAAAAGCTCACACTAGACTCAGTTTCCCTCTCTCTGCCTGCTGCCTATGGATCAGAAGGTAAATCTCTCAGCTACTGTTTCAGCACCATGCCTATCTGCTTCCTACTGTGGTAATAGTCTAACCCTCCGAAATGGCAAGCAAGCCCCCAATTAGTAGCATGGAAGATAGTGGTGCTGACAGTAATATAAACTGGGGACCCAGGGAGAAAGAACACTATCAGCTGGACTAAAAACGATTCTCATGATATTTTGGTTTTGTTTTGTTTTGTTTTTAAAGAAAAAATGTGGTAGCTTTTTTCCTTTTCCTAAAAATCTGCCTAAGGATAAACTGAAGATTTTGGGATTAATGGCTTTCACAGAGGAGATGTCAAGATAGCCTAGTGTCTTGTGTTGAATGGTTATTAGTGATTATTCTTGGGCAGATCTACAATGAGAAGGAACAAGTGGAGCAAAGAGAAGTATGAAACCTTAGTTTGAGGAGAAAAAGAGCACCAGGAAATATAATGTTAAAGCCAAATCCTGTGCTCAAGGAGATGAGAAGTTGGAGAAAAAAAAAAGCTTAACACTAAATGGAATAAGGAGAGTGGTGCCCTCACTGCAAGATCCCACCCAAATAATCCAGCAAACTGTGAAAGGAAAAGGGACTGAGGAATTTCCTAGATCTAACACAACAGAAATCTTATGCAAATGTAACGCATGGAGGAGCCCAGGCTCCAACCCCAACAAGCAGCAGGACCTGCAGTTTCTGCCACATGGATCTAGATTTAGAGTCAAGAAGGATATCGGAAAAGGCTGGTGGAATCTTCCTGCCTTGTTAAGGAAAGTCACTGAAGCCAGGTATGTGGCAGGGCAGTCCTTGCATACAGGTCCAGAGAGGACACTACACGAAGCTGTGAAGGTAAAACCCGGATTGCTTGGAGACCCTAAGATGTTGGGACTGCTAGATCCACACCACAGAAACCTGTTTAAAGGAGACAGAACCACCCCAAGAGAGAGTGTTGCAGTCAGCAAAGCTGGAGTGAAGAGCCCTCTAGAAAACCCTTTTAACATCAGACATAGAATTGTATAATTTGGAGTTTGTTCTGCCAGTTTTCAGTCTTGATTGGTCCAGTATTTCCTCACTATACTCCTTTTCTGCCCATGTTTTATTCTGAATTTATTAGTAAAAGTAAAATTAAGATTTGTAGGGATGCTGTCAAGAATTAACACTAAAATTTTGTTCGTTTATGTGTAGGGGTGTTATGTGTAGGGTGCTTTCACTATGTCCATGTCTGTACATCTCTGCATGCCTGCAGTGCAGCCTGAGAAGGACAGAAAAAGACATCAGATGCCAAGAGAGTTGAGTTACTGATGATTTAGAGCCACCATGTGGGTGCTGATAATTGAACATGGGTCCTCTAAGCTTTCTCTCTGCCCCCTTTTTTTTCAAACAATGAAATAATGTTATGGAACAAAGTTAAAGTAACATAGCCTGTGATAGTAATTTACATTTAATGAATCATTTTCTCTTTAAAAAGAGAAAAAAAGTGCATATCCATATACTCTGAAACCAGCCCTCCATTACTGTCTACTGTACCAATACTAGCACTCCTAACTAGCCACCACTGGAAAGATGACCTCTGCCTTTCTTGCCAACAAATTCTGAATGAAATCTCTGTTGAGAAGCACAAAGCCTTGGATGCCAGAGGTAGAAGAGCTCAAGAAGAGGGTAATGTGCTAGGAGAGTTGCCAGAACAAACAATATGAAGAGTCACACAAGTGAGGATGAAAGCTCTTAAGACTTAGTCTCCCGGACCTCTTCTGGTTTATAGTCAGGTTCTTCATGGTTCTGGAGGTTAAGTAATGGTAGTCGAGTGATGTGGAGATGCTTAGAAACAGGACAAGCTACTGAGGGATAAACAGATGCCTCAAGCTTCATCAAAGGCAGAAGGGAAGGCTCTTCTCCTATAGCTCCTGCCATTCCTCAGCACAGATTTTGTTGTTGTTGTTGTTGTTGTTGTTGCACAAATTATTACAATAAAAGAAGGAGCAGCGTCAGTCCTCTTGTGTATGTTAAAGTTAAACAAGCCTAATTTTGGTACTTACCATGAAAATCCTACATATCCAACCCAACACTCCTATACTAGTCAATTGACTTCAATACTTGAAAAGCACAGTGGTATCTGACAGGAGACATTCTGCCATGACAGATCAAGTCACTCCATGCACTCCTCTCCTAATTCCCAATAAAATGCCCAGGGTACCTGACAGCTACCACATGAAACTCCTTTGAAGAAAAGTGAAGTTCAAGTTCCTGGTGCTGTTACTGAATTACTGTCCTACTCTGTCCCATACCCAACAAAAACTCCTCTTTTAACATCCACTCTCTTGTAAACATGAAGTTTTTAATCTTTAAACTACCAAAAGATGTAGGAAAGAACTTTCTCTCTCCTTGATTAAACTTAAAGTTGAAAATGCTTCCTAAATCCTGAAATTAGTTTCATACGACTATGTACCATGTCCCTGCAAAGACCCCCCCAAAAAAGTGCTTTTGTAATGGGCCAGTTACAGGTTTTTAAACCTAGTAAGTAATAAATCTCTTGGCAGAATGAGATGAGAAC